CATATGCTTACAGAACTGTCTGTTCTCGAGCTTGGTACACATGGAAATTGATTTTGAGTAAACCATAAGCCCTAACTAGGAACCAAAAATTATTTGAATAAAGATGTCTCCTTAATACTATTCTAAATAATAGAGTAGGATTCTCCTAAAGACATCACTGTGTAAAGAAGAATCAGATTTTTCTTTCAATATTCGTTGACTATGTATCCTCTTGTCTCATAAAGACAAGACTGATGCCAATAAAACCTGAAGGAGATGAAACAACTAGCCATTTGGTGGGTGGGAGGACTGAAAACAGAGGGAGATAAAGTACCACACTGAGAAGAATAATTTTAACTAATATAATACGTATGATTAGGTTCATAAAAATAATGCAGGGCATTGGGAAGGTTCTCTGCACACCTACTTCTATTTGCCAAAATCCAGAATGATCCCAAGAGTCATGAAAGGGCCATCTTTAAAATTATTATATAAAAAAAACACATGTTGACATCAAGCTCCACAAGACATGAATTCACATCAAATAAGATTAAGCAGTTGGTTAACCACTGCTATAGTATTGCAGCCTAGTTAACTGGCAAAAAATATTTGGTTTTTTATTAAAAATAGTATGTTGGGGCAAAAATATCTAAAAAGGAACAATAGCTTTGAAGAACAGATTCTAAACTGGCCAGTTGCAAACATCCATTTTGCTTTAGAACTGGCCATTAAAAGGAGTTTATCTCCACCAACATCTTGGAGACAGGAAAAATGTTGCTTGAAATGCTACTTGCTACTTTTTATAGAAAAGAGAGCATCTTATTTTTTTTTTCTTATGGTGATTTTTTTAAATCCAGGAAGTCTCAGGCATCCATTTGAAAGAAAAGTCATGGAGTGGGGAGGTAGTTAGAAGTCTGCCCTTTTCAGAGATGTAATAACTAAACCAATTATGGAACGTTATTCTGTGAAATGCTTAGCTTCTCAGGGTCCTGGCAACAGCTTCATTTCCCCACTCCCTTTCCAAACTAGTCCTCTTTGCAGAAAAGCCCCACTCCTGCTGCTAATTAAATTATAGCCCTTAAAGTAAAGCTCAAGAGCACTTTATCACCAATTCAGTGTATTTTTTTATTCTTTATTTTTTTGCTGAGGAAGATTTGCCCTAAGCTAACATCTGTTGCCAGTGTTCCTCTATTTTGCATGTCAGCCGCCATCACAGCGTGGCCACTGACAGATGAGTCATGTAGGTCCACACTCAGGAAGAGAACCCAGGCCACCAAAGCAGAGCATGCTGAACTTAACCACTAGGTCACCGGGGCTGGCTGCCAAACACGTCACAGATTTCTTTTCAGATAGTAATACAACAGCTGCTCAATTAGACTAAGCAGTGTCAGCACTGGTGATCAATTGGGTCCATATTTTACTTAGAAACTACAATTTAATGTGTGGATAGAAAATTGACGTCCTAAATTCAATGATGCAGGGATGAAACTTAACTCTTCTCCCCTGGGTTAAAAGCCTATAGAATATAATATATTAACTTTTATATTCAAAGAAACCCCCTTAAGCTAAAGAGAGGCATTGCCATGACCAATAGAGTGATGTTTTTATCCAAGTATTTACAACAGGTCCTCAAAATACACAAAAAACATATCAGAGGCTTGAGCACTATAGACTTAGTATCAGTTTGGAGTAAGCTAGTCAACTGGCAGCTG